AATGCTGCCACCGCTCTCCAGAAAACGATCCCTCCCAAGCCAGCAGCTGGTGTGGTGGTTAGGTGCTGGACTGCCACACAGCCAACCAAGGTTTGAGTCCTGGACCCGGCAGCATGCTTTCTCACTTTCCCTCTCTGTCTCTCTCCAGCACACGTGCCCTACAGCAAATTGAAAATAATAATAAATAAAATGAAAGAATTAAAAAAAAATCCTCCCATTCTCAGTATCTTCTATTCAATTTCCTTAACCCATCTCATCTTCCTCTTCTATTTTTTTTTTCTAGAAATACAGAAGAAAACTCCTCAGGCAACCCAGGTGGCTTCTACAAAGTATCACTTCCCAAGCTTTCTTCCCTCTGAAACTCCATTAGGGCTCAGAGTTGGAAACAAAATTTCACTGGTTCCCGGATTAGCCAAAACTAGATTCTCTGCATGATTTAAGTATTCTGGGGGCAATTCCAGGACCTGGGCTTTGAAGACTTTCAACCCTACAATTTCCATCATTTACCTACAAAAGCTGAGGTGGGAGGAGGCAAAGACACAGGGCATTCTGGGAGGCCGACCTGCACACCAAACCAAACTCTTCAGCCAGGTAGCAGCGGCAGCAGAAACCGGGGCTGCGTGTGTGCCAAAGGCCAGCCAGAAGCAGAGTCCCACAACCAGGGGTTTCTAATCCTTTCAGGTGTTTAACATAAAAACAGCAGGACCCTGGGGCCAGCAGGTGGTGTGCTGGTCGAGGTACTGGACTCCCACGGGAAGGACCACAGTTCAAGTCCCGCACCTGGAGGATTGCTTTCTCTCTGTCTCTATCTGGTTAAAGAACAGAAAGAATAAATGAACAAAGTAGCAGGACCCCATAGGAAAATGGCTATGTTTTTAGCACGAGTGGCTGGAGAGGACAAAGACCCAAAGCTACTACGAATGCAGACGTCCCTGCAACACGGCTGGCTGCACCTGCAGACGCAGAGGCCAGGCACGCACGTGCCAGGGCGGCTTCCGACCACAGAGGAGCCGACGGGGAGCTCCCCGACCGCTCAGTGCCGCCACCCACCGGCCTGCTAGCTGGGACCCACGGCCGAGCAAGCATGACCCACGGGGCTCCGAGGGCGGAATCTCTCCCTCCGCGAGTGTAGACGCGCACACGCACGCAGAGCAGAGGCAGGCGGCCACA